GGTGTTGCATAAAAAATATATTAAAATAATAATAATTTAGTTTAATGTTGAAATCCTCTGACCTCTCCCCCGCATCAATCTGCTGCTGAGCGTGAAGAGGTGAAGCTCTCTAGCGGAGAATACAGCATTTTCAATAACACTTCCTCAGGAGCGAAATCCAACGTCTGGGAGGCTTTTGGTGTCCTCCTAGATGGAGAAAATAACCAACATCCCACGCTTTTTGAGACAAATATGCAACTGCTTGTGTTAATAATTGCACGTTTTCACTGCTCATATATGCGGCTTCGGGTCGGGTTGCGGAACAAATTGGCAATATGTGCGGGTAGCCGGGCGGGTTCGGTATTGCACGTCGCGGGTGCGGGTCTTGAAAATCAGACCCGTGCAGGACTCTGCCGCCTCCTCGGTTTCCCTCCTCGACTCCTCCGCTTGCATCTCCTGTGGGCGGGACTAAGACACGAGGATAGGAGTCGAGGAGGGGGGTCGAGGATAGGAGTCGAGGAGGGAATTAGAGAAAAGAGAAAGGGCCCGGGGGGATCACTGGAGGGCGTGTTGGAGGCGATGTTTGAACGCTTACTTCAGTCTCTTTGGGTTCAGGAGAATCTTGAATCTCCGGTTCTTTCGTCGGTTCAGTCAGAGAGACCAGATACTCCTTCGCCATGATTGCCACCTGAAGACACAACATTAATAAAAAAAAGCCCAAAGACAGAACGCACAGTACCACGTCTCCACCCTCCAGATCTTACCCTCCACTTGGTGAAGTCGCTGACGGAGCTGGGTCCGAATCGAACTTGCTGACAGGCAGCGATCACAAAGTCTTTGCTCAGAGCCGACAGTTTCTCCGTGGTGACGGGGTCCGGGAGACGGAAGTGCTTCTCCCAAACTGCAACGATCTGGAATCAATCAAGAGCAGAGACGCCTTTAGAGACTTTGAGTAGAAAGTATAACACCGGTTTACAGACAGAGCCGTCGTTACATCCTAGAGGCAAGGCAAGTTTCTTTAGACAGCACCTTTCAAAACAAGGCAGCTCGACGGGCTTTACAGAAAATGCATCATTGGGTTGGTTTCAGCATCATCATCATCTCGCTTTCAGCTGCTCTCGTTATCGATGATCTATTAGACACTACTGTCCATCACATTGTAATGATTGAAATGTATTACTTCATGAATTTGACTTAACAGACTGTACGTGGTTTGTCATGCTTTGCTTTATGTTATTTTGTTCATGTATGTCTGTAAGATGTTGCTTTTGTCGGGGGTTTATCCTAATAAATACATTTCTATATAAAAAGGCATTTAAAAACAGTCATTAAAAAGTGTGTGTGTGTGTGTGTGTGTGTGTGTGTGTGTGTGTGTGTGTTAGTTACACCTCTCAGGTGTATTTTGAGTGACAATCTGGGGGTCTCAGGTTGAAAACTGGAGATCATGCCCCACCCCCCCTCCCGGCCTCTCGCTGCGTGCTGATTGGTTCTGTTGGATGACATCATCACTGGGCGCCTGCAGGATCTCTGTACAGACTCGCTGTGATGTCACATCCTGTTTGTGATGTCACTTCCTGTCTCAGCAGCTGCTGGGACCATCATGCAGCACTAGAGCATGCTGGGAGCTGAGGCCGGCAGAGGGGATTGTGGGAAATCAGACCTTTTACTTATCATCACTGACCCCCGTCTGATCGTCATTGCACTGTTGCATTGTGGGAAACGTAGGCATGGGGAGTACGTGTTAAGAAATGAGGACTCACGACAAACGAGTCAGACTGAAGTCATGTGACCGACTGCTCAGGTGTGTGTGTGTGTGTGTGTGTGTGTGTGTGTGTGTGTGTGTGTGTGTGTGTGTGTGTGTGTGTGTGTGTGAGCGCTCACTTCTTGGCCTTGTAGACGTAGGCGCAGCGCTNGCGCTGCGCTTCCCGACAATGTAAACGTTGTTTAGCTAAAATAATCAATTCTATATTTTCTGTTTCTCAATGTGAGGCTAAATCAGAAGTTCTCTCTTGATCCCAATCACTGCTTCATGATGGCCTTCACAGAAGACCTTCTCTGAACACCTTGAAGGCCCTGACGGTTCACAGCTGGTATATACATATTTTGATATAGTTTTGTATTCTGGATTGTGGGAAACGTTTAAAATATGAATAGATCATTTAAAAGCAGCGACAAAAATAAGAGGAAGTATTGAGGATAAATATGTTGGACAACAACACGCCATGTTGGATTCACCGACCCACATGACGAACAGAGACACAGTTAGAGACGAGGAGTAGAAAGTCTAACACTGGTCTACGGACAGAATACTCTTTCAATCCCATAATAAGAGAACGTATAGTGGTACCCGTGTCCGGAGGTTCGCGCTGTAGACGAAGCGCAGGTGGTTAGCGGAGGACGTGACGTCTTTCCCGTTATACATCCTGAGTTTGGGAAGCAGCACCATCAGCTTGTGGTTATCACTCACCTGGGGAGGGGAGACAACACTCAATCAAACACAAGAAAGGTAAAAGGACTGTACTTATATATCTCTATCAGGTCTGTATGACCCCTCAGAGCTCTTTACATACGAGTCATTCACAGGTCATTAGACAGACAGACAGACATACAGACACACACACACAGACAGAAAACGTGTCTCCAAATAAATCTGGTAGTTTGTTTAAACAAATATTTGTCCCTTTTTGGCATTATGGCAACACCAAAAATAACCAAAAGATGAAACAAATTATTCTCAAAAAAAACTAGTTAGTGTTTCCTGTTTTGCACACCTCTCCTCTCTCAGGTGTATTTTGAGTGACAGTCTGGGGGTCTCAGGTTGAAAACTGGAGATCATGCCCCACCCCCCCTCCCGGCCTCTCGCTGCGTGCTGATTGGTTCTGTTGGATGACATAATCACTGGGCGCCTGCAGGATCTCTGTACAGACTCGCTGTGATGTCACATCCTGTTTGTGATGTCACTTCCTGTCTCAGCAGCTGCTGGGACCATCATGCAGCACTAGAGCATGCTGGGAGCTGAGGCCGGCAGAGGGGATTGTGGGAAATCAGACCTTTTACTTATCATCACTGACCCCCGTCTGATCGTCATTGCACTGTTGCATTGTGGGAAACGTAGGCATGGGGAGTACGTTGCAGATATTAAGGTTAATGCTGCTTCTAGACGGCATTTGGCTTGAAGGCCCTGACGGTTCACCGCTGGTATACACATCTTTTTATATATTTTTGTATTCTGGATTGTGGGAAACTGTATTTTCGATCTCTCTGTCTCTACACACAAACTTCAAGATTGACAATTAAATTGAATATGACTTGTCTTTTCATGCTGCTGTAACGCAAACATTTCCCAAATTGGGATCAATAAAGTGCTTCTTATCTTATCAAACACAGAGATATCCTCCAGCACTCACGGTGATGTAGAGGTTGTCCTCCAGCTTCAGCTCCTCCAGGCCGCTCAGAGCCTCCAGAGACGTCACGTCCTCCATCTGGTTGTCGCTCAGATCCAAGTGTCTGAGCGCAGGAAGCTCCAGGCGGCGGGGGAACTCCTCCAGGCGGTTCCCAGAGAGATCCCATCGCTCCAGGGCAGAAAGACGGGAGAGAAGAGGCACCGGGAGATCCTCCAGTTTCAGAGTCAGCTTAGAGAGGCTGGGGAAAAGAAAGTCAGTCAGAAACCAAACTAAACCAGTAGGGACATTATAAATAGAGTTTATTAAACAAGAACCAAGCACCAAAGACATTGTTCTTTAAGTAAAGGGGACAATTTGGCCAGAGTGCAAAAAAACAGCTGTTTTCTAGTTATTGGGCAGGTACACACAAGTCAGCAATCTTATCATATCCTCTATCACACTAACATATAAATCTACAAATCCCAGCACATTTCAATTTTAAAATGTCACCCCGTTAGTTGACTTATTGTTGACATGACTGGTTGCTTTATATACATGTTTTACATTAAGTCTTAAAGTGCAATGCTAACTTTACACTATGGGTCAAACGTGGGGTTCCTCTACCGTATAAGTAAAGAACAACACAAACACAAATATGTGTTTCTTTCACTTCACTGACTTTATTCATGTGTAACAGAAATGTATGCAAAGTTAAAACAAAGGTAGAGAAATGTACGATTGAGTTATAATAATACATTTAATTGTAGAGCGCTTTTCCTGGTGCTCAAAGACACTTTACATACAATCAGAAACAGTACAAAGAAAACAAGAAACAGAAACAGTAGTCCTAATCCAAGTGTGAGTAAAGGGGGGGGGGTTGTTGATCAGAATTTGAAAGTGATCAGTGAATCAGTGAGTTAATTATCCCTTACAAGAACCATGCATCAAACAAGACATTATTCTTAAAGAAAAAAGGGACGATTTTGCCAGTTAATGAAAAAAAAGTTTTTTCTACAGTTCTTGGTAGAGATGTCCCGATCCGATCACGTGATCGGGGATCAGAGCCGATCACGTGATTTTCAAAAGGTTCGGAATCGGGAGAAAAAAATCGGGGATCGGGATTTTTTTTTTACATTTACCGTAATTTTCGGACTATAAGGCGCACCTGAATATAAGCCGCAGCAGCGGCATACCACTCTCGGTTCCA